AATGTGTCACGATGTGTCACCGCATCAAGGCCAAGGTGGCGGCGGCAGACCCATTCCGAGAGTCGTTTCCGTCGCTCTGTCTCTCTCGCACTCATGCGGCGCCGCCTACAGGTGCGAGAGAGACAGCGACGGCTCTCGGAATCGGTCTGCGGACGCGAGGGCGGCGCGGAGCGAGGCGCGAGGCGCGTACACTGGAGTCCGAGGTGTGTAGGCAGTACCGTTGGCCGCGCTGGCGGAAGGCTGCTGGAAGGCTGGAAGACGAACTGGCCGAGGTGTCGCAGTACGTCCTGACCTCCAGTGTGCCGGGCGGTGTCCGCCCTCGTTTAGTGGCATTGTAGTTCCCGGCAGTCCCTTCGCAGTCCCTGAGAGATACCTCGTAGGTCCCTGGCACTTCCCTGGACTCCCTTGAGGAGTCTTCGGCATGATGTGTGCGGTGCGGTCAGTGTTCCTTCTGATGAAACATTCGGCGGCACGGCGCACCTGTTACAGGCTGCAGTCACTTTTCCTGCAGGACACACACACATCCATATACGTACATGTATAAGTACACACACACACAGGCGCGCGCGTGGACGTGTGGCCCTTCGAGTTATGGGTCCGACACCTGAAAGCACTTTAACGGGACGCGTGTCGAGGCTGCGCCGGGGCTGTGGCCGTTGCCATCGTGCCGCCCCTAAAAACTAAGTACGATTGGGAGAAGGGGGCGGGCCTGGGCCCGCCTGCCTGCCTGGATCGGAATCGTTATTCCGGATGTGCGACAAGAAGCACTCCCTTATGAATTCTGTCGCGGACACTTTCCTTGCGTCCCATATACGATCCGAGACCGGTGTGGGACGCCGCGCGGTGTGTCCCCCCTCCCCCTCCCTCCGCCCCGCCCCTCGCTTCTACCCGCCGCTCTGTGCGTCGCAATGTGATACAGAGAGATTACTCACGTTTTCCATTCTGAAATCATGTGAAGATCTCAGGACCGAACGGAGCGCCGTGCCGTGCCGAGCCGTGCCGTCGTGCATCCCCTCGTCCAATCGGCTTTCGCTTGTGTTTGCAAAGCCGCCGAGCCTCGGCCGGGACCCGGTTAATCGACGGCCAAACAGCTGAGCGATTGTCTGTCTCTCTTGCACCCCCGCGGGCCGCGCCACGGGTGCGAGAGAGACAGAGCGATGGGAGCAGGGCGCTGGGGAGCTTCGGGAATGAAGCCGATGAAACCGCACGGCCAGGAATGCTGCGCGAGCCGAGCCGAGCCGCGGCCAGGACGATTCCGCGATCGCTTCATTTCGCCCGAAACCGAATCTGCATTTTGACGAAACTGCTTTGCGGTATATACGAGGCGTTTGGCGCGAGAAAGTCCCCACGCCGGACACACGCACACACACGCACACGCAGAGCGCAGCGAGATGACGATGGCGATGGAAATGCTGTACATGCGTGCCTCTGTGTGCGCGTGTGTGTGTGTGAGTGAATACACATGCACGGACGTGTGCGTGTGTGTCTGTCGCCTTGTCCTGTCAACGGGCGGAGAGAGGATTCTCTGCGACCCCCGGCTGACCCTGGCCGTGACCCTGGAGCCTCCAGGACTCCGGGCTGGAAGGCCTGGAAGGGCTGCGAGACGCGCAGGCTGAACGAAAGGGTTAGTGAGAGTGTGGGGAGGCAGCCAGGCGGAGATGGCGCGCCGGATAGGCCTGCAGAGTGAAGGGGAGGGACGGTGCGTGCTCGCTTCGCCCGGGTCATGCAATTTTTTAATTTTTTTTTATTTTCTTGCGCGAGGCCTTTAGATGCACCTCATCGGAATTCATTCGCTTTTTTTTAAATGCCGCGTATGACGCGGCTACTCTTTGTAGCAGGGGCAATCATCACAAGTCATGCGGGTCATGTCGGACACGAGCGCTTCGGTGCATCTATTTTAATTAATTTTTTTCGTCAACTTGCCAGACGCCCTTTTAGGATGGCTAAGTGGCCGGGCGGACTTTACCAGAGTCCCAGTTTTTTTTTAAGGACAAGAATATTTAAATAGACGCAGAGAAACCCAGGGCTAGGTACTTGGTGTACAGCCTCCTAGGGCCGCCCAAACGTCTGGCGACTGAGGTCGTGTGGGTCGCTTGGCCTGGCCCGGCCCGGCCTGTGGCGTGCTTGGTTGGCGCGCTTGGCTGGTGCCGTGCAGGCTGTGAGCAGCCTTTGCAGGTGGCCCCAGACCAGAGGGCCCGCCGTGCGGTGTATGGTTCCAGCGAGACGCCTTGCCGCGGCCGTGGCGATAGTTTACCACCGTCATGCCCTTCAGCTTGACGCCCTAAAATGTGTCGATGCCCGACCGGCCCGGCCCCTTTGCCAGTGTCGTGACCAAAATGTGTCACTGAGGCTTCGCCCTGCCTTCGCCTTGGCGTCGCCTGCTCCAGGTCGGCCCATTCTTTGAGACCATTATAGATTTCGTGCCTGTTCCACGCAGCATAACTTTTCTTGCTTTGCTCAGCGCTCTTTGGCCCAGTTTCTTCTCGTACCAGCAGTAGTGCCAGGGGCGGAGGGGGGGAAAAGTACGAAATCCATCACACTGTGAACACACATTTCCGAGTTTTCTCCAAGGGATGATTTAGTGGCGGTATTAAATCACTGTTTGTGTGGGGCCATTGTTTTGATGCCCGCTGCCTAGTGCCTTGTGCCGGGCGATCTTTCAAATGGAGGAGGATGGCGTGGCGTGGCGTGGCAGGCCGGGGAAAGGGAAGTCCACGGCACGCACAGACTTGCAATTTCAAAGCCGCTACAGACGTACTGCCGACGGTCTTTCCAAAGCTCCGCAGCGACTCGGGGGCACACTTGCAAGTCTTTTACTCACAAAGTACTAAGGATTACAACAATTTGTTTTAGGTTAGGTTAGGTTGAGTAGAGTCGAGTGTTTGTCTTTTGCGTCCCAGGCGGCTGGGCCGCACGCGTCTGGGCGCGCAGCGGAGCCTGACGCGCGGTTATGCCAAAAAAATAAAAACAAAATCACCGTGGCGGAAAATGGAGGCTCAGCGCCGCCGCCACGGAAGGCCACGGAAGGCACACATACTTACATCACGGTGGCCAAAACGGTCAAACTGCACCGGTGGCAGTGCGACCATTCTTTTCCCCTGCTTGCACGCCAAGGGCTGTGCACAGCACTGCAAGGCGCAGCGCACACACACACACACACACCACACACACACACACACACACAGAGCGCTGTGACTGACCACTCCATTTCGCCCACTTTGTCTGCCTTTTTGTTGTCATCGCTCGGCAACTTTCCCGCCGTTTCTGCGTCGTCGCCAAATCTGTGCACGGTCAATGTCGAGGCCGGCTTGGCGTGGCCGAGGGTCTGGCCGAGGGTCTGGCCGGCCTGGCGGCCAGCAGCCGCGTGCGAGGAGAATGTGATGTGGCGGACACTGCATGGACTCTCTCTTACTTTCCTCGAGGGGGGCGGAGCGGGGCGGCGCTGGCTTCCGCGAACCTCCCCCCCCCCCCCCCCCCCGCACGGTCAGGTGTAGGTCAGCGCGAGGTCTCTTACTCATGACTAAATCTACCGTGCTGTGTGGACGCCCGGCGGCCCCACCGAGCCTTATAGCGCTTTATAGCCGCTACTGACGGCCGCCCGAGTGTGTGTGCGTCGGTGTGCCCGTCTGTGTGAGGCGCGCTCGGGTGTGTGCGTGTCGGTGTGTGGTCGCTGCTGCGTGACTGGGTGGTTGGATCAATATGATGTTTTGATTCCGGCGTGACACTTATTTTTATTCGTGGTTTAACCGGCGGCACTCTCTGAGACTGAGCGACGCCTCTTACTATCAATGGCAGCGCGAAGGATAGGGAACTGGAGCGAGCGCACATTAGCCTGGAATCCTTTCCGCTGAAAGGCTTTTGCTTTTCCGAGTACGACGGCGAATGTGAGCGAAAACACAGTCGTCGTCGTCGTCGTCCCGCCGCATTATGAACTTTGTCCTTTTGCGGGGGAAATGCAAAACATTCTCTTTGGTGGAATTGTGTTGCACAGTGGGGCATGCCGGGCATTGCCGCGCAATTGGAGGCCGCCGCGTGCCGCGCGTACAATGTGTAGTGTACAGTGTACTTAGCATTTCCACCGCCGCGGATATTGAATAAGTAGTGCCTTTTCCTTTTCTTTACGAACCTGAGGCAGCAGAAGCAGCAGCAGCAGACGACAGCAACAACAACAGAAGAAGAACAACAAAAACATAATAACAACAGAAACAACAACACAACAACAGAACAGCAAAAACAGCAGAACATCAACAACAGAACAACAATAATACACACCAAGTAGCCTAACCGGGCCAGACTCCAAATCATCATGCAGTACATACCAGGTTGCTGCAGGGACGATACGCGTTGTGGCGCGCGGTGCAAAATTCATCCGCTGCTTCCTAATGCAACGCTAATGCATGATTGCGTCTATCATAACGAAACGATCGAAACGAAATAGCGGCCCGTTCCGTGGCGCGCGTTCCCGGCGTTCCGCATAGGTTATGTGCCGGGCCCTCGCTAAATACGCATGCTAACCACGCGTACCAACTGCCGACGAAAATCGTCCATAAACCATTAGTGCCGACACTCTAACCCCGACCAACCCGCGGTGGCAGTCGGCAGGGCAGGCGAGGCAGGCCGGCAGCCACCCCACCCCCACCTTCCCCTCCGCCGCGGCCTGCCCCCTCCACCGGCTCGGCTCGGCTCGGCGTTGCTGGCGCTGGCTGCGGCTTTGGCTGCAGCGGGCCGGCCTGGGCTCGGCGCAGTCCGCCCCAGTCACTCCTTCCTTTGCCGCGCGCCGGCAAGCCCAGCAAGCCTCCCGGGACCGTGTCGCCGCGCCGCGCCGCGAGTGCCGTGCCGCCGTGCCGCGTCGCCTACAACTTACGCCGCCGTGCAGCCGTCGCCGTGCCGCGCTGCCCAGGGCGACCTGCCCACCGTGACGCGCCGCCGCAGCGCCGTGGTCGCGGCCGTGACGCGCCGACGCGCAGTGTCGTGACATGATGTGCTGAGCGAGCGCTGCCATGGCGCGCGTTCTGTGGCCGCTGCTGCTGCTGCCCCTGCTCGGGGGCGGGCTCGGGGGCGGGCGCGCCGCGGCCGCCAAGGGCTGGTCGTGCCGCCAGGACGACGTCACCTTCGAGCTCATCACGGGCTTCGTCTACTCCGCGCCCAAGGACGTGCTGGACACGCGCACCGGCACCCTCAAGCTGTCCGACTGCATCGCCGCCTGCCAGGACCAGGCCGGCTGCCAGAGCCTCAACTTCGAGACGGGCTTGTGCGTGCTCTTCTCGTCCAGCGCGGAGACGCACCCAGGTGAGGGGACGGCCTGCATTCGCCCGCCTTCTTCGGGGTCGTCGCGAAGGGCTCAGGGCTCCAAGGGTTGTGTTCAGCGAGGACCGCTTTACGGTGGGATGGAATCGCGAACCCAGTGCGCAGGCAGACTTGCCTGAAAGTGCGCGATTTGTGTACTCACTAGTGTGTGAACCAGACCTCTTGAATGTTCAAAATCTTTCTGGTTGACGACGAGCAGTTGAAACTTATTGAAACAAAAGTTAGAGCCGTGGAGGTAAAAACGGCGAGGACTACAGTGTCGATTGATTTTATCCCAAGGTCCTTCTTGTCGGGCGGGCTGCGGGGCCCACAAACTGTTCCGTTTGTCCCGGCGCAGCCGACCGCTGTGTACCGTTCGCGGGGGCGGAAGGATCAGTAGTCACTTTTATTGAGTGTTGTGTCTGCACACACGGGCCGGACCCTCCAGACACACACACTCCCCGCGGGGAGCACACACAGAAACACGTTACCCAAACACGGGGACGCGCGCGCCGCGCTCGCCGACGCGCCGAGAACACAGCGTCATGAATGGACGTGGTCCCCTCCCCTTTCTCTTGCATACACATGATCACACAAATGATCTCGTCACGCGCGCCGCCCGAGTGTCTGTCTGCCTGTCTGTGTGTGAGTGTCTGGAGTGTGTGCGAAGTGTATGAAGTGATGGCAAGCGGTAGTGGCCCGACACGTACTCACATTCATATTGGCGTTTCACGTTCACGTCCGCGCGCCGCACACACATTCACATTGGTCGGCCCGTTCATACGCCCCGCCGAGCACGTCCGCGACGCGTCCGTGCGAGCTCGTGTGTGTGTGTGTGTGTGTGTGAGCGTGCCGCTGTGTGCGTGCGCGCGCGGTTCGAGTGCCCGTTTAGCCGGAAGAGTAATTGAAGTAAAAAGTCGACTACGAAAAAAACCCTCAAGGATTTATGTGATTTGCGTCTTTAACAAAATGGGCGTTGATGGGACCAAATGCAGCGCAATCCACCCCTGATTTTTTTTCCAGTGACGGCGTTAATTTCCTAATTGGACCCGTATAAGTTAGTTTTTCTCGTGTGTGTCCCTACTCTGACGGCGCACTACGAGACGGGGCGCCCCGAATTCCGAAAAGGGGAGGGAGGGGGGAGGGACTCGTTAGCTGAGTCCCTTGTTCTCCCCGGACAGCGAGAGTCTGCGTGTGTGCACGAACACCGTGAACGAACGACGCGGACGACGCGAACGACGCGGACGCCGTGCAGCCCAAAATCCGTTCCGGCGCCCTTCCCTTTCCCTCCCGAAAAGGGCGGCTGACTCTGCGGTTCGCGTGAGCACGGTCGGGGAAGGACCCGAAGGACCCGAAGGGCTGAAGGGGCATGCCGCGGCACGGCATGGCCGAGTGTCTGTCTGTCTGTCTGTCTGTCTGTCTGTCTGTCTGTCTGTCTGTCTGTCTGTCTGTCTGTGTCTGTGTCTGTGTCTGTTGTGAGTCCGTGATGTGTGAAAAAAAAAACGTTGCTTTTGCTTAAAATACGAAAATCGGAAGAAAAGCCAAATTACTCAAAACAAAATTTTCTTACTTCGAGAAATTTTTTTCAGGGTGTGTTTGTGTGTCTGTGTGTCTCTCCGCGTGTGTCTGTGTGTGTGTGTCGGAGTGCGGTGCCCTACTGTCTCGGTGCTCCCCCTGACCTGATGGCACCTCCGGATTACATACCGCCTGGCTGGCGTGGCCTGCCACGGCCCGGCACGGCCCGGCCTGGCATGGCCCTGCACCAAATTGCTCACTTTCACATCCCTGTTTGCCGAGCCGAGCCCCGCCGAGTGCAAGACGAGTGCAAGCGCTCATGCCGCCAAGGGCTTCTAATTTGGGCGGTCTTGTGACGGCTGCCTGCCAGCGACCCGGCCGACGCCGACGTCTGAGGCGTCCGACTGACCGACCGACCGGCTCGTGTCGTTTCTGGGGGAACCAGTTATGCCGTCCTCGCAGGGGTGGTTTCGCCGCCGGGGTCGACCATTGAAAGAAAATGAAAAAAAAAAAAAAAACAGACGAAGGAGGGGGAAAAAATATTAACTTTGTTCAACTGATTTCTGGATCGTCGCCTGTTCTCCCAAAGAAACTAATTTAAATTGCTTTGCCAAAATTCAATTTCTGCAGATTTTTTTTTCTGACTGTTGAAATTTATTTCTGGGGGCGTTTCTCGAAATCAATGGGGCCGGTCCCACACTGAATATGATGCCTTTCTCTTTCTCATCTTAAAAACTCCTCATCGGCGGTAGAGCAGTGTGCTGTGTCCGGCAGGAGCAAGGGCACGCCGTGCCGTGCCTGCACTACAGCAAGGCCCTCTGCAGGAGCTGCCCCGCGTTTTCTGCACCACATTCAGTAGGCCAGCCAGCCAGCCAGGCAGGCGGCGGTAATTCGAGACAAGGAAACCGCGCTCGCGCGGCGGGCAACGGCACGGCACGGCACGGAGGAGCACCTTGCACCAGTGGGGGGCGGGGCAAAGGACAATTGGCCCCCCTTGGCCTCTAGATAGCCGCCTCAAAGATAGGCTAAAAGGCACACTTTTGCACTGTAAGTGGGCAAAATGCGCTCCTCCCCTTTCTCGGCCCGCTGACTGCGACTCCCCACGGCGTTTTCGTCGCCCTGTCTCTCTCGCACCCACGTGAGTGCGGGAGAGACGGAGGCTGTCGGCTCGGCCGTGTCAACGCCTCAGCCGGAGACCTGCACGCTGGGGCGAGGCTGAGGCCGGGCGGCTGGTCCGAGGGACCGGGTGGCCGCGGCGGGGTGGGGCCACTGAGGCCCACTAGGACTCACATGACCTGCTTGTGCCGCCATCAGATGCACTCCACATTTCCTGGCACCGCGCACCGCCGTCCCTGGGCAGCGCCTGGGCAGTGCCTGCAGGCGCTCCGGCGCTCTAATCTGGAGAGGCGATCCTCATCATAACGCATATTGAAAGGACTGACTGCAGTAGAGAGGCCCCCGCGGTCTCTCTCCGGCCGGAGACTCCAGCCGGAGAGCCTCGCCCTGCCCGGCCGGCGGCGGAAAGAAAATAAACATGAATGGATCATTATCGGGGCGGCCGGCCCGGTCCGGCACAACACACTGACCTAGCTCAACACTGCGAAAGAAGCGGAGGGGCGCCCGTCGCCCCACCTGGCCGCGCCGCCAGCCACTCGCTGCAGCGCTGTACGCTGTGGCACTCGCGGGGAAAGCAAATCATTAGCTGTTGATGTTTCGCAGTTTATACTGGCAATTACTCTGCTTTTGCTTTGGGCCGCGCGCGTGGCGAGACGCAGTGCCCTGCTTCCCGCCCCGCCCCGCCCCGCCCCGCCCCGCCCCGCCGCGGGCTATCGCCAAACGCACAGTACTCGCTCTTGCCTTTCCCGGCGTTGCCCGGCGTTGCAAACTGTCCGGCCGGCCGCATCCGCCGTGCCGTCATGCGCACTTTTCCCTGCCGCGGCCTTCGGGGCTTCGGGGCCGATTGGCAGATTGGCCGGTCACCTTGGCGACGAGGCCGACTCTGCCCCAGGGCCGACCTGGACACTGAATCCGAGAGTCGTCGCTCTGTCTCTCTCGCACCCACACGGGTCGCCCCATGAGTGCGAGAGAGACAGAGCAGTCCGCTGGAGCGCGAACCGCGACTCCTGGCGACCCGCAATCGGCCGCCCCATCGGGATGGGCGCTTGCCAGGTCTGGGTCCAGGTGACGAACTAGTCGCCCAGATGGAAACTTGCTCGGGTCGGCCCCACACGCCTGCCCGCTAGTTGCGTCCCGCAGGCCGTCGCTCTGTCTCTCTCGCGCTCGTGCCGCGCCCCGCAGGGGTGCGAGAGAGACAGAAGCGCCGTTGGGGATCACCCACCCGCTGTCAATACACTGTCGCGGTTGCCTTTTCTTGGTTCGCTCTCTGGGTCAGCCTTTGGGCCTTTTGGGCGTTCGGCGGTCGTTGCGTCTTCTTCGGCGTCCTCGTCTCCGTCTTCAACTGTTGTTGGCCGCTGTGCCGCTAGCCGGCTCGCCGCGCTGGCCGCACTGGCCGCCCGCGTGCACCTGTCGCTGGCCTGCGCCGCGCCATGGCCGCGCCCCGCCGGCCTGTCGGGGATATTGTCTCTCAGTCAGTGGTCTGGCGGTGCCTGCCTGCCTGTCTGCGGTGCCGGCAGACCGAGTCCAGAGTCGTCTTCGTCGCTCTGTCTCCCTCGCACCCACACGGCACGCCCCGCGAGTGCGAGGGAGACAGAGCGGCGGCTCTCTGCCGGCCGCGCCCACGGCCTCCTCGTGCTGCTGGCTGCGCTTGGTGCTCGGCGTGCCGATCGGCAAAAAGCTCCCTTTTCCGGGAAAGCGTCATCCCAGACAAAGGCGGCGGCAGAGGCGAGGCGAGGCGAGGCAAGGTGCGCTCCATCGAAATATTTTTACATAATAGTAGCAATAATGGCGAAGCGAGGCGTGGCGGGGCGGGGCTGGGCGGGGCGGGGCGGGGCGGGGCTGGGCGGGGCGGGGCGGGGCGAGGCAGGGCGGGGCGGTGGCGTTCGGTTCGATTGGGAAGAAACACGGTACCTGCGCGCGGGTAGTGCCCAGCATCCGCGTTTTAAAAAGTAGCTGTAAATTTGACCATAAACCTCTGGGAAGAATTCGTCTGGATCTTTCGCCATCCATGCAACAGGGTTTTTTTTAATTTTTAGAATTTTTAAAATTTGTAACTAAAAAAAATAGTGGCAGTTTTCATCATTTGGAACAACGTTAACCGAGGAGTTCCACGCGGAAACAAACGTGAAAAATGTGGGCGGCTGTGGCCCGAGGACGCTTCCTAATAATGGAAATGCAGCCACCACTGCACTGTAGCAGCAGGACCCTCCCGTGGGGACACGGCGCCCCACGGCACTGCACTTATCGTCCGCAATGCATCGCAACCAGAGGGCCGCCGAGCCAAGTGCTGCCCCCGGGGCAAAATAAATAAAAAGCCCGCATGCATTTATTCAATGGGGATAGCGTCACGGATGCATCGACTTGACTACCGC